CTGCAGCACAGTGGCTGGGTGGTATAAGGGGTTGCTTGAGATTCGTACTGTTGTGAGTTCAAATCCTGCTTGTTCTCTTCCTTTGTCTTCTTTCTTTCAATTTTTCTTTTTGAAGTGGAGAGAAAGATTCTAAGTCCCTCCAAAGTCGAAAGATTACAATGCCTAAGCGGTCGATGCAAGCGGTCGATATAAGCGGTCGATATTGCGGCGATATGGGTAATATAGGACCAGTCAAGGATCACGAGAATTAGTGGAGGTCGATATAGAAGAGTGATAAGTATAGATTATAGACCGGTTAGGAGGTCTATACAGGATATATAGACCGAGTAAAAGACCGAGGTCCCCCGAGGTCTTTTACGAGGTCTATATATCCTGTATAGACCAACTATGAGGTCTATAATCTATTTATCGTGTTCTCCACGCAATAGTTTCTCTTCATATACGACATATCCTTGTAATTTTAGTATTATACTATAGCCTATACCGCATTGTACGGCATAGCAGGATCAAGGTCATTGTTTAAACTAGGTTCAGCATCGGTAGCACAGTGGCTGGGTGGTAAGGAAGAGTGACTGAGATTCACATGGTTGTGGGTTCAAATCCCATCTTGTGCGTTTCTGCTTTCTTCAAAAATTTCTTTTTCTAAGTTGGAGAGAAAATTTCTAAGTCCAAGAAATTCTAAGGAGTTAAATATAAGTAGTCAAATATATCGTGTATTTGACTAAGCAGTCAAATACGCGATATATTTGACCGCTTAGGTATCAGGGAAATTAGTGGGGTCAAATACTAAGAAGGCGATAAATCTCCTTATCGCCTTCTTAGTATTTGACCCCACTAATTTCCCTGATACCTAAGTGGTCAAATATATCGCGTATTTGACTGCTTAGTCAAATACACGATATATTTGACTACTTATATTTGACTCCTTAGAACTTCTTGGACTTAGAAATTTTCTCTCCAACTTAGAAAAAGAAATTTTTTTAAGAAAGCAGAAATACACAAGATGGGATTTGAACCCACAACCTTGTGAATCTCAGTCACTCTTCCTTACCACCCAGCCACTGTGCTACCGATGCTGAACCTAGTTTAAACAATGATCTTGACTTTCAATGCAGTACAATGCGGTATAGGCTATAGTATAATACTAGAATTACAAGGATATGTCGTATATGAAGAGAAACTATTGCGTGGAGAACACGATAAATAGATTATAGACCTCATAGTTGGTCTATACAGGATATATAGACCTCGTAAAAGACCTCGGGGGACCTCGGTCTTTTACTCGGTCTATATATCCTGTATAGACCTCCTAACCGGTCTATAATCTATACTTATCGCCTTCTTAGTATTTGACCCCACTAATTTCCCTGATACCTAAGCGGTCAAATATATCGCGTATTTGACTGCTTAGTCAAATACACGATATATTTGACTACTTATATTTGACTCCTTAGAACTTCTTGGACTTAGAAATTTTCTCTCCAACTTAGAAAAAGAAATTTTTGAAGAGAGCAGATATACACAAGATGGGATTTGAACCCACAACCTTGTGAATCTCAGTCACTCTTCCTTACCACCCAGCCACTGTGCTACCGATGCTGAACCTAGTTTAAACAATGATCTTGACTTTCAATGCAGTACAATGCA